CTTTCCTGGCAGCCTTTGGAGTGCTGGACTTTGTCCACGTGCCTGTTCCCGGGAGCCAGGCAGGTAGGAGCTGTTTTGAAAGGCTGTCCAAGGCTAGGCTGAGCTGTCTGATCCCAGCCCAGTGCCTGGAGCACACTGTGCTGTTCGTACTTTTTAATGCATCTTCCAGCTCTGTGCAGCCAGAAGCACCTTTAGCTGCAAAGTGCACCTAGCCCATTGTCTCTCTTGGGGGGATCAGGACCTCAGTGTTTTTGGCTTCAGACCCTCAGGGTCAGTTTATTTTCCCAGTGAGCTGGGTCAGCAGTTTCACCTGCAGGTCTGGCCTGCCCTGGCCCTGCCTGAGCTCTGTTTCCCTCTGCGGCAGTGGGTGTTGTTATCATGGTGCTGTTTGGAGTTGGGAGGAGTGGGAGGAGAGCATCCTCTTGCCAGTCACTCCTGATGCCTTGTCTGTGGGTCTCAGCCTCTGTGAATCCAGGTGTGTGGTGGGTTCACTGCTGGCTGATAGCTCATGTCTTTTGTTTTCCAACATTGTGTGTGGTATATCCCCTCTCCTGCTGGACTAACCCCTTGGTTTTGCTGGAGGTCTGGTGCTCCTTGCTTTCCATGCCAGATCCGACCCTGGCTTTTCTCAAGAAGGCCTGGCTGGGCATTGGGGGGCAAGGAGCTGCTGGCCAGGGAGCGTTTTCGGGAGCCCAGTGCATCGCTAGTGGCGTGGGGACCTCTTGTGGCTGCAGAAACGGGGATGGGGCCAGGCTTGGCTGGGCTCCCAAATCCCAGCTGCCTGCCTCTCCTGGGGCCCTGCATGGGCCATGAGGAATACCAGGCTGGTACCCAGCTGGGCTGGAGCATCAAAGCTGAGCTGGTGTCTCCTTCCTGTTTTTCAGATTCCAAAGGATCTTTGGAGCCACACAAACCAGGTGAGTACCCTGCAGAAGTTACAGGTTTAACCCCCAAAAGGTTTAAACCCCCAAAGAGAGGGGATTGTTAATGGCCATGAAGGGTAAAGAGCACTTTTGGGGTACAGTGCTGCAAGACCTGGAAAATGGTCTCTGTCAGTGCACCTCTGGATATTTCTGCAGGCAAATTGACAGGGACACTGAGACCCACTTGTACTTCTGGCTCTTGCCTGAAATTTTGGGCAGATGGTCATCAGCACTGTGACCTTCTTGTCATTTTGCTGACCATGGTGAGGGTGTCCAAGCCCTGCATCCCCTGCGTGGTGGCTGCAGGCAAGAGGATGCTTGGAGGAAAAAAAGTAAAAAGTCAGTTGCTCACATGTGCATCTTCTCTTCCAGTGAAAGGCAAGAAGAAACCTGTTCTGAGGATCCAGTGTGTCCCCATCAAACCGCCTGTTGCCAACACAACGTAAGTATCTTTGCTGTCTGCTTAAAGCCAGCCAGAGGTTTGCCAGAAGTTCTCCAGAGTTAGATTTGCTGCTGTCTCATGGGGAAAGGCCTGTGAAGACTTCACAGAATCACCATAGTTATTTTTTTTCTCTTAAGCTCTGGCTCAGGGGTGATGAGAAGGAATTACACATGTATGCACATGTGTGTGCATACATGTGCACAGTGTGTCTCTCTCTGGGAGGTGCCTGCTTGATTTGAAATGGCTGAGAGGCAGAGACTCAGACAGTTGGGAAGCTTTCCTCAGTCTTTCTGCCATGGCTGTGCCAATGCCAAAGGGCAAAGACATGGTGGAGAGAGCGAATCTGCCCAAGGGCAGAAGGGAGGAAGGTTTTTAGTGCAGGAGAGGAGAAGAGGTGGCAGCAGCTGGACCCAGGGGCATGAAGATTGGGGAATACTTTGCATGACCTGAGTATCAGGATTAGTTTGAGTTGTTTGCAGTTCCCTGCCCTGGTATGAGTAGGACACAGACATCTTATGTTTGTGCTGCTTGGTGCTGGGGCTGGTGCCCAGCAGTATCTCAGGGCACTGGAATTTCTCTCTGCCCTGTTTGCTTCATGCAGCTGATGCTTGTTATGCTGTGGTGGAGAGCCCAGGGTAGCAGTGCTTGGTTTGACAAAGAGCAGACAGCTAAAATTCCTCTTTCGTGGTGCTCTTCCAAAACACTTCAGGCTGCGTCTCTGCTGCTGAGTCTTGTTTGCTCCAGAAACCTGTTCTAGAGAATTCTCCCAGGTCCAGGAGAGCAGTGAATCCCCAAAGGGGAAATATCACTACCAAAAACCCCAGGTAGAGAGGACAGATCTGCTGGAGGGGGAGCCAGGGGAACTCCCCCATGAATGCTGTGCAGTGTAGCATGCAGACACCCAGCCCCACATGTAACAGCCACCTCTTTCCCCCACGGGCGCATCTGTCTCCGCTCCTGTCAGTGTTTGAATTTCCCCTGGAGAAGGCCTCACACTGGAGCCTGCAGGGCTTTGCGTGCCCAGAGGCTGGTGCAAGCTGTCCACAACTCCTTTTTTTTTCTGTGCCTTTCAAGCTGCAGTGCAAATATTTGCGCAGTGCAAGGCTTTTGCTGCCAGCCTGAAGCACTTCCTTGAAGCTGGAGATTGCTGCGTTGCTCTGATGGGAATTGGGAGGCTAAACCAGTTGGGCAGTCTCTGCTTTTAGAAGGTCCCAGGGGATGGGGAGAGCAGAGAAGTGAGGCACAAGGGAGAGAACACTTGTGTTGGCAGTAAAAGTACTGTGCTGCACATAATGGGAAGTGAGCAGCAATGAGGAAAAAGGCCATAAAGGACGACTTTTGCCTGTGTGGTGTTGTGCAAACGTGACACCAAAGTGCTGCCTGTGCTGCCTGGAGTGTACACAAATGACTCACGGGTGAGGAATTACCTGTTGCTCCCTCCGCGTGTGTTTTGAGCTACGTGGCTGTCCTGTTACAACACCTGCCTGTCAAAACATGACAACTGAGCTGCTCTGCCACACAAACGTCTCAACCCGGTCAGTCTCGGTTCCTCAGGCTCGTCTCCTGAGCAGGGCTGGTTTCATAGCCTGTTGCTTTGATGCATGGCTCACCTGGCTGACTCCCCAGGGTTCTCACTGCCTGCGTGCAGCAAGTGCCTCGTGGGTGTGGGTTGAGGTGTTACTGGCACGACTGAAGCACTTGTGAGTGTTTGGAGGGGGCTGGTTTGAACCCACGACAAGGCACAGTGGAAAGCAGTGGCTGAAAGTGCTCAAAGCAATGTGAAACCTGGTTCTGGCTAAGTTGAGCTTTCTTCTGATTTACTCTCTTTTCTTGCAGGCCCCCGAGGAACTTGGACTCCAGGACGTTCATTACCATCGGAGATAAAGTACGTGTCAGTAGAATTTCTTTTTATGCTTGCTTTCAATTGTGCTTGCCCTGTGCATGGAGAGCTCTGTGCATTGTGCCTGACAACCTGTCAGATCATGTCTTGAGATTCCAGAGCATCCCATGGGTTGGATGGTGCCCTCCTGGTACAGCCTCATGGGATGTATCTTTGCAGCGATGAGAGATGCCACAGCAGGACCTTTTCCCTGTGGAGCAGTGGGGTTTCTCTGTGTATTTAGAGCAGTGACTGTTGGGGAGCTGAATGTGTCATCCACCTGCAAGATGGGTTGTCCCTGAGCCTGTGCACTCACGGGATGGGGTGTCTTGTACCTGTGAGGCAGGTGGGTGCCCTCAAAGGCCAGGTGGGCAGTTTTGTGCATAGTGGGAGATCACAGCAGTCCCTTGACAGCCCTACCAGCCACCTTGGTCTGAATGGATGGAGAGCAGTTGTGGCTGCCCCATCCCTGGAAGTGTTCAAGGCCAGATTGGATGGGGCTTGGAGCAACCTGGTCTAGTGAAAGGTGTCCCTGCCCATGGCAGGAAGGTTGGAACTGGATGATTTTTAAGGTGCCTTCCAATCTAAACCGTTCTATGATGACCCAGCCCATCTGCCCTAAATCAGAGTGGCCTCATCATGCTCTCAGACTGCCCCAAACAAAGTTCCCTTTGTCCTGCATATCCACAGGTCTGTGTTACTGCCCAAGGCCTGGGAGAAGCTGGACATGAAGCTCTCCAAAGCCTTTCCTAGTGACCTGATGAAAAACACTGCTAGAAATAGCCACTGTCTCTCTTTTATTCCATTCTCTTGTTATGGGTTCTCCTGGGGCTGCAGAAGGCTGTTTGCAGTGAGCTAAAAATACCCTGCATTGGATCAGCCCTATATCTAGTCCCTTCCAGGCTGGGATGTGGCTTGGCTGATGGGATCTGGGTCCCTCAGTCTCAGAGCAAGGTGTTTGTAGTGTTAGGGGAGAGGAGAGGGTGCTTTGAATGGGTCCAGGGAATGATCCTGCTGCCTGTGCGGTTTTCTGGTCATTGTTGTATGCATTAACAGCTCAGGGAGAGATGCTCTCTGTGACAGCCTGGGCATGGTGTGTGCAAGGGAACAGTGCTGCAGCTTAGGGAAAAGTCTCAAGAGTCACTTCCTTGCCTGCTCCAGTGTTTGCAGGAATGGTCTGGTCCAGGTGTTCTGGAGTAACATGATGGAGAAGAGGAATTGGGCGGAAGACCAGCTTTAGGCCAGGGGGTGGATGCTGACCTTGGGTCCATTGGATCTGTATGGGCTGTGCCGTGCATCTGTTGTTGCTGGGCAGGGCAGTGCTGGTTCCTGGAGTGTGCTGGGAACTGCCAGCTTCTGGGGAAGCCTTAGGGCAAATGCCAGGAAAAGAAAAAAACAATAACCTGGAACAACTGCAGAACACGTGTCCTGAAAAAGCATCACCAGTTCCTTCCTGGAGGCCCCTGCAGTCACTGTGAGCCTGCACTGCTCCTCTGCGAGCTGCCCAGGGTGGGAGGTCAGACATGGCCCCCTTAACCCTGCTCTCCTCATTCCAAGATCACTGTCCTGCCCAGGAAAGGGCTGGCACCTTCCTGTGCTGGGCAGTGCATAGCTCAGCGCTGAGCTCAGGCACAAACCTCCCTTGCTCCCTCCTCAGCCTCCTGCCAGCCACATCTGGTTTGGATCAACGGAGCCAGGGGTGGCAGGAAGGTCTGGTGGCTGGGGCCGTGCTGTGGCCAGCACCAAGGGGAGCTTGTTGGCCGGGAGCTTGTTGGCCAGGAGCCCAACAGCCACATCTCCCAGCTTGGCTCCTCCACGCCAGAGGCTGTTTCCTCTCTGTCCGCTCTGGGCGTAGCTCGCAGGCACAGCATCCGGCTCTGTGCTGTGCTTGTTTCCCACCCTCACTGCCTTTGTGGCCACTGGGCCAATTTGGCATCCTGGTATTATTTTTGTTCCCTGAGACCAGAGGAAAACTGGAGGCTGGATAAAGCCTGGCTAAAAGAATGCCTGTGACTTATTAGGAGTGATGAACGCAGTGTCCAAAAATAACCCATGTCTCACTTGGTTCATGCCCTGCCCAGCAGATCCAGCAATTACAGGGGAACATGTCTTTAGGGAAATTTGTTTGTGGATTGTGCAGGAGCTTGCTGGCTCTCTGCTGCATGGGGCACTCACTGGGCTGACCACTAGCCATAGGTTTTTTCCAGCTTGAAGTGAGACTTGCCTGAGCCCCGTCCTTGGTGCTAACTCACATTTTACTTTGCTGGCTGCTTTCTGGTAATGGGAGAAAGTATTGAAAGCAGGTAAAACCCATGTAAACTCCCCAATAATTAGAAATTGAGTTGCTGTGTGCATCCCATCTAAGAGAGGCTTTGCACAGATGTTATAAGACACATAGGTGTGTTTATGACCAATGATCTTTGGGATGTGGGGTGAGGTGAGAGATTCCTGGCTGTGCACAGGGATTTGGAGCAGCAGTAGAGGCTGCTGACTGCTGCCTATGTTGGCACAGGAGCTGTTAAAATCCTGCAAATAGTTCAGCAACTGCAGAAATACCCTTGTGTGGGTAATCCCAAGCAGGCAGAGAGGCACCAGCCTTTGGTGCCCTTTCCAGTGGCAGCGTGCCCTGGCTTAAAGGATAAAAGTCTTGATCTCCAGCTGCAGAGGCGAAATTAAATGAGCCCTGGTGAGTACAGGGTGAGAGGGTTTGGGCTTTGGTACAACAGAGCAAAAAATATACCCTTCTTCTCTAAGCATGGTATCTCTGGTGGATACCTGTGGTGGATACAGGAGCTGGTGGAATCCTGTAGGTACCATTTGGAAATGCTCTGTATGAATGAGCTGCAAGTGTTGGACCTCTGCTGATGTCCTTGATAAGTGTGCTTTTACTTGATTTTATTTTTTCTCTCTCTCCCTAAAGAACTTTGAGGTGGAAGCTGATGACCTGGTTACAATTTCAGAGCTGGGCCGTGGGGCCTATGGTGTGGTGGAGAAAGTCCGACACGCGCAGAGTGGCACCATCATGGCCGTGAAGGTGAGGACAGCTCCTTGCTGAGTGGGATGGAGTTCAGGATGTGCAGCTCCAAGGGAGCAGAGAAACTGCTGAGCTCCACTGGTTGTGGCAAAGTGGGGACAGGCTTATCTGGGTTTTGCAGTCTCTGGTATTGCTGGTGTGGATTGACTGGTGAAGGGTCTGTGCTGGTATCAGTTGGGCACTGTGGAGTTGATAACAGGTTTTGAAATCCAGGCTTGGTGCCTGCACTGCAAGGTTTGGATGTCAGAGTGCCTGTCCAGGCTGCTGGCCTGGTCCTGCATCTGCTGCAGAGCTTGCCAAGGGTTTGGCATTCATTAAGGTGCTGACTGGCAGAGGGAGCCTGGGCGTCTCCTGGGTACTAATGGCTGCTAAATAACCATCAGATGTTTGCCCTGGCCCCAGAACTGCAGGTCCTGTGAGTCAGACTGAGGGATGATTGTGTTATCCCACCTACACCAAACCCTTCTTCTCTCTTATTTGTTTCAGAGGATTCGAGCCACTGTGAACACTCAAGAGCAGAAGAGGTTATTGATGGACTTGGACATCTCCATGAGGACAGTTGACTGCTTCTACACTGTCACCTTCTATGGAGCCCTCTTCCGTGAGGTAGGAGCTGGTGGATGACTGGTGGGAACCTGTGGCCCATGGGATTGCACCAAAGGTACCAAACTGTCCCAGAACAGTGTTCCTCAGCCCAGCTGGGCTGTTTGAGGTGCTGCCTTGGCTTAAAAGCAAAGGCTTCTCTCCTTCAGGCAGTGTTGATCAGATCCCATTCCTCACTTCCATGGCAGATTCCTGAGCACATTGTTCATGGCCTGGACTGACTTTGGGGCAGACCCTCAAAGGGAGGGGCCACCACAGGTAGCTTTGGTGTTACCTGGACATCTGTGCTATCTAGTGTAGAGCCCATGTGCTGATGGTGTGGCCAACAGCAGCTGCATGGCTTGGACCTCAGCTTGACCTGTGTGGAAAGGATGTGTCCATTTGTCCATCCATCCCCATCACTCTCTTCAATTCCCACAGATTTTCAGGGAATTGCCTCTCAACTGCTTTCTTTCCATTTGCAGGGCGACGTGTGGATCTGCATGGAACTCATGGACACCTCCCTAGATAAATTCTACAAGAAAGTACTGGAGAAGAAGAAAACCATCCCTGAAGACATTTTGGGGAAAATGGCTGTGTCTGTGAGTGCCTATTGAGTTCTTATGTGGGTCTGTGCATCCCCTGAGGCTGTGTGAGGTCTCTGTTGAGGCCTGTGGTGTGTTTGCAGTGGAAGGCTGGTGCTGTGTGTGACTAACTTGTGTTCTGTCCCTCTGTCCCCAGATTGTACGAGCTCTGGAGCACCTGCACAGTAAACTGTCTGTAATCCATAGAGGTAAGTGCTGGATGGGATTAGTGTGATGTGGCTGGGGATTTAACCTTGAAATAAACTATGTGAGAGGACTCCTTTCCAGAAGTTGCGTGGTGTGTCTTTCTGGGATGCCTGAAGTGAGGTCTGCTGGTACTTAGGCCCATGGTGGACAGATCTAGATGCCTGAGACTTGTTCCTGAGATGTATCCCTCCTGCCTCTGCTTGCTTGTTGTTCTTGTCCTCCTTTCCAGATGAAAGATTGAAAATAACAGCTGAGTTCCTCACTACCTATATTTTTATGGACATCTCTGTCTCTCTGAGTACAGAGGTGCCTTGAAGGCATGGGTAGGTCTAGCACGGTGAGGGCTGAAGGAGACCTTATAAAATTACAGATGGGAATTGTGACACTCAGGTCCTGTTCTTCATCCTGGTTTAGTTCCCTGTGTAGTTGTGGACAGCTCATGAAAGGCATGAGACAAATTGTCCTGAGAATTTGGTAGACTTGGGCTTTTATAGCTGTGCTGGGCACATAAATCTCTCCTCTGGAGCTGGGGATTAACTCCTCAACGTTTTATTTCCACCTTTTGACCTGCCTTGTTAGAGAGGAGGTTTGTTCTGCCTGGAGGACATGGTTGTAGTTTACCTGTGAATGCCTTTTATTTAAATAAGGCTGATGGGGTTTTGTCTCCCTCCCCATGCGTTAGGGTCTGCCTGGTTCCCTGCTGTCTTGTCTCAGACTCTTCAATTCCCCTGCAAAGACTCAATCTGTCCTCTTGTATTTTTTCTTAGATGTGAAACCTTCCAATGTGCTGATCAACAAGGAGGGGCACGTGAAAATGTGTGACTTTGGGATCAGTGGCTACTTGGTGGACTCGGTTGCGAAGACCATGGATGCTGGCTGCAAGCCATACATGGCTGTAAGTGTGCTCATGTGCAGCCTTCAGCCTTGACTCCCAGAGGCTGCTGCTTAGAAGTCAGTCTTGGTTCACCTCCATTCTGGGATAAAACAACCACTTGAGAGGGCTCTGGTCTCCCTGACTCAGCAGAGCCCTCCAAGGATGGGATTAGCCTCCCTGTAAACCCTGCTCTGTGCATTAATCCCACAGCAGACTCTTTCTCTGCCACCTTCCATTTGCAGAAGGGTAAAAGACTGGTTGGTGCTGGTTGTGGTGGTTGGAAGGGCTGCTTCTTGTTGACTAGAAAATGCTGAGGCTTTTCCTGGCAGGATCATTTCATCCTCAAGTCAGTATGTCTATCCCTTTGCCATCTGTGGTATCCATGTGGGTAATGTGTGCTCCTGCAGCAGGGATCGTGCTGCAGAGATAGTACAAGTCTTACTCAGGAGCTGGAAGAGGAAGTCCATGTGAGTTGTGTGGAGTAAGATTTGCCTTTCAGCAGTGCTAGATTTAATCTCAGGCCCTGCCTCCATAGGGACATGAGCTGGGGAAATCCACCCAACCTGGGTTTTGGAGCCAGAGATTTGCTCTGTGGGGTTTGCACTAGGAAAATGAGATGGGGTTGTAATACCTTCTATTTTGCTGTTACAGCCAGAAAGAATAAACCCTGAGCTGAACCAGAAGGGCTACAACGTGAAATCGGATGTCTGGAGCCTTGGGATCACAATGGTAACACCAAGGGCTGGGACTGGCCCCTGCAGCCCTGGGGTTGAGATGGGGTTCAGACTGGTGGGGTTTGGTGGGTGCTCACCAAATGAGACTAAATTCTGAGTGTGCTAGCTCAGGGCATGAGGTTCTAACCCTCTGCTTGGTTCCATAAAGCTACTTGTGTACAATGCCAGCTCCAAATAGCTCCACTTGGCTCTGAGCTATGTTGGTCTTGCATCCAGGCTCCCAGGGGCAATATCGGAATGACAGTGGTCTTAGTTGGGCATCCAAAAGTTTGGCTTTTAATTGCTCTGCAGTTCTTGTGTGCTGACTGGAGATGTGGTTGGTCAGTGGAGCAGCATTTGCTGCAGCTGGGGCACAGTTTTCCTGTTTCACCCCTGTCCCATGTCACCAGAGCCTTGCAGGGGGATCGGGGTGAGTCCTGCTGCAGTGAGGGCTGCTGTGTGTGCTTTGCAGCAAATCCTGCCTGCAGGGTAGCTCAGAGCAGCCAACAGGAAGGGGAAATACTTTCAGTTCCAAAATCGCAGCTGCTCAGGATGGTTTATCTACCTCCTGCAAGAAACGGATCTTGCAGAAGCAGCTGAGATCTCTGGCGCCAGAGGAGAAAGGAAATCCCAGCTGTTGGCTCGAAGGGATGCCGTCTGGGAACGGCTATCGCTTTCCAGGAGACTCTCTCTCTGTGGGTAGATTATTTTCAGGAATTTTTTCCTGTGCCCTCGTAGCTGTGGCCTTTGTTTTGGGCACTGCATCCCTGTGTTTGTGTGTGCTGCACAGATCTCTTGGCAAGTATTCGTTCTTCCCCAGCTGGTCTTGTCCACAGTGCCAAACCCAAGCCCCTCTCTGGTGTCCCCATGCCAGCACAGAGCAGAGCTGGGCTGGCTGACTGGAAATGTAATCAGCCCCGAGATGCAGGAAGCTGTGGGATGGGAGACTGTCTGAATGATGGAATCTCCAAACCCCTTTCCAAAGCTGGATGGGAGAGGGAACCCTGCAGAAAGCCAGTCAGCCTGCAGCTGAGTGGAGTCCCAAACTATTCGATTCCCTCTCATGTCTTCCTCCTGAGATGGCTTCCTGGGATTTTTGCTGTCTGTTTCTGAAGGGGTTGGATTGATTTCAGACCAGACAGTTCTTGGGCCATTGAGTTGCAGGGCCATTCCAAGCCTTCCTGGACTTGTGGCTTTGTTTAGTTTTCCAGCAGCAGGAGCTGAGCTCTCCAGACCTGAGCCAGAGGCAGGTGGAGGCATCAGGTCCTGTCCCTGCTCTGTTGGTTCAGATTTGTTATTCCTCCCATCCCATCACACCCTACCAGGCAGGTCTGGAGGGTCTGTTGTCCATTTTGAGACAGGAACTGATCCTTAGCATGAGGAGACTGCCCAAGAGCTGTTATGGGCTTTTTCCTGCTTGGATGAGTGATGGAGCAGAGATCCTTCCAGTAATCAAGGTGGTTTTGGCAAAGATCTCGATAAGTGGTGTTCTAGCACTTAATTTTCTTGGGTCTGTGGATTTTTTTGTGTGTGTTTAGCTCATACAGCACTAGCCTGAGGCCCAGAGGCTGCCTTAGGGCCAGCAGTGCACTTAGGAAGCCAGTGCAGAACCTGTGTGCTGTTACTATCTTTTTAAATAATCCCATTTTACATATCTTTTGTGGCTTCCTGTAAATGCATTAATATGCTGAGCAAGCCTAAAAAGGAAGTATTTTTGGCCTCTGAGTCTTTGTGCCTTTGTATTTAAAAAAAAAAAAACAACAACAAAAAAACAACAAAGAAGAAAAAGTGGTATGACCCAAATTGAAAATGGCCTGTAAGGAAAAAGAGGGTTTGCATTTGAACCTGAGCTGGCAGAGGCAGGGAGGCTGTGTGGGGTCCTGCTTGTCCCAGTGTCTCACAATACTCTGTGTCCATCCTCAGATCGAACTGGCCATTCTTCGCTTCCCCTATGAGTCCTGGGGAACTCCATTCCAACAGCTCAAGCAGGTAGTGGAGGAGCCCTCGCCCCAGCTGCCTGCAGATCGCTTCTCCAAGGAGTTTGTGGACTTCACAGCCCAATGGTGAGTTTCCAGCAGGGACTGGTGGCTTCTCCCAGCCTGGCTGGTGAGGAGCCCTGATCCCTGGGGGCTGGAGTGAAGCATGGAGCTGAGTTTGACATCCTTTCAGAGCCCATTTCTCCCCACCTTGCCATACCAAGGCTGGTGCTCAGCGTGGCAGGAAGCACTGCCCAAACTGGTTTTGCTCTCGGCCTGACTCACCCAGGCTAGTTGGAAGGTGCAGATGTTTCTCTTCCCCTTTTGCTGTCACTGCAGCTGAAATTTTGGTGGTTTCTGGCAAAGTGGCAGTGAAACCAGAACAAATCCCTGGCAGCTTCTGGGTGCCTCTGGGTGAAAGTTGGTTTGTGGTTTTGTGGGAAGCTGCTCCCCCGGGCTGTCCCTTGCTCCCTGCGTGCTGCTTGGAGCTGCCAGACAGAGGTGAGCTTACCCTATACGTGGTGGGAAACCATGTCCTCTCCTCCTCAGTTGTTCTGGTCTGTGTGGGACAGACTGCAGAGCTGCTTGGCTTGTGCTTTTTGTGGCAAAACACAGAGTTGTCTTTTCCCAGTTACCTGCCTGGATGGATTCCGCTGGTGGTTCAAACCTGCTCAGCCAAGGAGGGAGAGGGATAGGTGCTGCCCACAAGAAACAAGTCATGTTGGTTGGGAAGGGGAGATCCCCTGTGACAGATCACACACAGCAAGAGGAAAAGATCCTACAGCTTTTCTCTCCTGGTTTTTTTTTTTTTTTTTTACAGCTTAAGGAAGAACCCTGCTGAGCGAATGAACTATTTAGAACTTATGGTGAGTGTGGAGCTGTTTCTGCTAGTCTTTATCCTAAAGCATTTTGAAATCAATAGTTCAGC